TGGGCTCCTGAAGGAAGAGGGCTGATCTAGCTCTGTACTTTGGTTTCTCCTTTGTACACCAAAGTCCCAAACCACAAAGATGACAGCTCTCCTTTCAGGAAATGGGAACCCTGCCAGGCTTCATTATGTTTGCATTGCAGGCTTGTCTCCAGCATTTCCACAGAATATCCCTGGGGTCCTCTGACAGCTAGTAGAAATGCTACCTGAGATGAGCTTTGGGAGGAAGGAGGCCGGTCTCACTGTAGGCTGGACAGGATGGACACATAGGGCCAGGGAGGCCATAGTAAGGCCTAAACACTAGATTTAGGTAGAGCTGGAGACTGCTTAGATTCTGGATAGAGAAGAATGTGCAGGAGGAGAAAACTCAGAGAGACATAAAACCCATACCTACCATTTATTAAGCATCTGTTGTGTGCCATGTATTGTGCTGGGTACTTATGTATCCAAGAGATTCTTTCTGAGGCAGCCAGCGATCTCACACAACTGGCTCCTCTAATCCATAGGGTTGGCCTGGACCATACATTCACTTAACAGATACATGTCCTAGGTGCTGGGAACACAGCAGCGAACACAGATAGATGTGGTTTATGCCACTGTGTGTGGTGGTGGTGGTGGAGGAGATGGACACTAAACAGACAGATAAACTAATACATATGGTCACATTTTCCTGCTCATTTGCATTTCTTTTTTAGTGTGGGGGGGTTTAAAATGGATATTGTGGTCTGATGTGCCCCAGGGAACATGTGTTCTATTGTGTTTGTGTATGTTTAGTGTGTTGTTTAGTGACTTGTCTGAACTAATCCTGCAGGTTGTCTTCTACACAGCGTGTTGACACTGGTATTTCTGCCCAGGCCTTTTCTCTTTTGATTCCCAAGACTTATTTGCTGATTTGGTTGGGGTTTCAACAGGGTCAACATAGTTTGGGATGCAGCTATGATTGGTCAGAGGCAATGCTTAAATACCTCAAAGCAGGAGGGTTCTACCTTCATGGAGGTGGGGGGGTGGGACTATAGTGTAGCTCAGCGGTAGAGTGCTTGCCTAGCACACACAAGGCCTTGGGTTTGATCCCCAACACTGCCAGAAAAGGGGCTATGGGTGAGGGGCTTGGAATGCATTCAAAATTCAGACAATTTAAAAGACTGCTCTGGCTTTTATTTTCTGGATTTTCTCGTGTCTCCTGTGCATCTCTGCAAGGCTTTATGCTCAGCCAGGGATAAGCATATGACTGGAGCTCTTGTTAGATTCTCCTGAACTTGCACAGCCTTGGGCACTGCTGTCCTGATCACTAGTGTGTGTGTGTGTGTGTGTGTGTGTGTGTGTGTGTGAGCTCACCAAAACCCACTATGGCTATCTCATCACTAGGTCTCCCTGCTAAATTCCCAGCAGACTTAAGCAGTTGTTTACCTAACCAACGTGGCAACCTAGGTAGCTGCAGTGTTGGCATTCCCAGCCGGACCTTCCCCTTGGCCATGAGGCTTTGCTGGCTCTATCCCTAAAGTCAGCCCACTCCGGCAGCCAAACTGCTAGGTTTTGCAGCTTATCCTGATTAAAACATTCTCATGGAGCTTGGTGTGAGGGGCTGGGAAATTTCCTAGGTTAAAATGTCACAGACCTTCACTGTTCTTATCCAAAGTATTTCTTGAATAAAAACTTAATTTGTTATACCTGTAGTCAGTTTCCAGTTAGTTGAAATGGTTGTTTTTCATAAGTATGTCCAATTTTTTTTTTTTTTTGAGACAAGATCTGCTATGTAGTGCAGGCTAGTCTTAAATTCACTATGTAACCCAGGCTGGTCTAGAACTCAGGTTGCTCTTCCCTTGTCATCCTCCCAAGTGCTAGGATTACAGGCATGTGCTGCCCCACCTGGCTAACTTTGTCCAACTTTATCATTGCTCTTTGGGGAGAGGATTCTACAAGCGCCTCACTCTGCCATTAAAGTCACAATACAGTCCCGTTTGAAACTTCATCCCTAAGTTCTATTCCAAGTCTTTCCTGTCCTTTGGAGACTAGCTTGGCTGTCCTAGAGACTTTTTTCTCCTCTATCCTTTTGCGTCTCTTGTGGCATCAGTGTAGGAGGGAGGGAGGAAGAAAGGGACACATTTTCTTCTCCACTGGTCACGATTATAGCTTCTCTGTTGATGGTGCTGTTTCTTAGGCTAATCCAGCTTGGCCTACGACTTTGGGTTGGGCAAGCGTCTAAGGAGGTATATGTGGGAATTTTGTTTTGTTGGGGATTTTTTTGAGACAGGGTCTATGCAGTGCAGGATGGCCTCAAACTCATGGCCGTCTGCTGCATCTAGCACAGCTCTTGAAAATCCAGAGGGAGGACAGTGGAGGATGAAGAAGACCCGAGTCAATATACAGAAAGCTGATGTCAGGTAGAACTCATTCTCCTGCTAGAAGAAAGGAACTGCTTGGCACCTGCAGAATGTTTATACAATCAGCATATGAATAAGTTCACAGAGTTTAAGGGGAGGGGAGGATCTGGGACAGGAAGACTATCTAATCTTCAGCAGAACAGCATGCCTTGGTGGTTTCATGGAGAACAAGGGAGGAAGTGTTTATATTAACAGGCAAACGTCAAGTCACTATGTGTGTCAGCTCCCTAAGCTCCACACACTTCTCATGGGGCCCTGCCAAACTCATAAGAAGCAGTGACCTTGTCCTAGCTACCCTAGGTAGACAGCTTCACCCCTAACAGCGATCCTTCTGCTTCAGCCTCCTGAGCGCTGGGATTATAGGCATGTACCACCATGCCTGGCATGAGGGAATTCTTAAAATACTCCTTTCCAGAGGCCCATGTACCATCAATATTTTTTTTAATGTGGAAGATCTCATTGTCTTCTCCTGTTAGATGAGAATCTGTATTAGTCAGATTTCATTAGATAAGACTATGCAATAACTAACGCTAAATCTCAGTGGTTTCTAACAGCAACGGTTTATTTCTCACTGGTCATGTCGGTGTCATGTTCAGTGTGGGCTGCTTCACATCTCTTTCCTTTCAGGACCCATCTGAGACATGCATTCTTATGAGAGAGGACAAAGTCCAAGACAGCTGGTAGAACTACATCACACTTCTAATGCTTCTGCCTAGATGTAGCAACACACTTCTGCTCACACCCCATTGGCCAAAAGCAGGCCATGGGATCAAGTATGAATGAACTTACTGAAGCTGGAAAGAAAACTTGCCCAGGATGCAGTCACATGGCAACCAGTGATGGTATCTAACCCTTAACAAAAGAGCAACTTACAAATTGAGAACAATACCATCTACCACTTTAATAATAGCATCTTTCTTAATGTAGCTGTGAGAATTAAATGAAGTGAAGCATATCCAATGCTTAACAGTATTCTGCACTTAATAAGGACTCAGTACATGTTGGGTACCATTATCAGCTGGTCTTGTTGAAAGTTTTTCTCTTCACTGGATTGGGCTAATCCTGATCCGCATGAAGAAAAGTTGTAACTATTCCCAGTATTTAATTTCAAGACAGTAACACATCATATCTAAGGGGCATGGGCTTTGCAGTAATGTGGACCCTTAGCAGGGCAGATGGTCTTAGACCTAAATTACTTAAAGTCGTTGAGCCTTAATTTCCTCAACCCCAAAACTGGGATACTGGAGACTGCATTGTTGGCTTGTCGTTAGGGTCAAATTAGCCCAGTCCCGTTCTCATAGTAAAAGCTGAATATTTGGCAAATTACTGAATGCAGATCATCTGCTGAGGACTAACTTGATGCAGTAAAGAGCAGGCAATAATTAATATTAATAAACTGGCACAAAAATAAATTGAGAACGTATCCTAGGCCTACATGACTTAGGGAAAGACTCCCAGCTGGTGGAAGGACAGATTAATCTTTAAGTCAACAGGCAGAGTCAAGGCTAGAAAACATAGAAAACAGTCTGTGATGTTCTGGCTCCTCAAAGTGAGGTAACATAAGGACTTGACTCGTACAAATTCTATTTAGCTCAGTAATTGCAGTTAGCAGGCAATCAGGTTACTAGTTAACCTTGATCTGCTCCTGTGTGATTTTCCAAAAATGTATTGCTCCTCATCTCTTGAACCTTGACTGCATCAGCAGCTCGCCCCACCACTTCCTGCAGCCCACCAGTACACCCACCAATCAAACTGTACACCTAATAAAAGCCAGCACCGTGCCTCATGGTCCTAGCCCGTCATTGGGCTTTGACCTCCTGGTGCCCCTTGTAACTAAGATACATGTTTTGTCTCTGCTTTATTCTGTCATCATACCTCTGAGCAGGAGATTGGTGGTCCTAGGCCAGGGCCCTGATATAGATCATAGACTAATTTAAAAGATTCCATGAACATAACTACAAGACTGCTAACTGGAAAGCCTTTTCTATCTTCTAGGTTTCTGCTCAAGTATCTCCTTTGCAGAAACCTTCCACGACCACCTGATTTAAAGTACTTCTCTCCAGTCATGCCTTCTGTTTTCTTGTCTGTATGGCTCTGGCGATCCTCTGAAACGGTCCTGTTCACTCATTTGGTTTCTGTCACTAGATAGTAGATAGCTCCATGAAAATAGGAATCATGTTTTCTGTACTCTCAATTTCTTCCAGGGATATCAGCATCTTTCACGGTAAAACTATAAAGGAGAAAGGTGAGGTCTGGATGGTCCACCTGAATCTCTCCTCCTGCCCAACTCAAGTCTTAAATTCCTTCCAAGAGTCACACAGCCATAGTCGCCCAAGTGGCCTGTAGCGACGCCCCGCCCACTTGTAGGCGTGCGCTCCAATGTTGTGACAGCCGCGTGCAGGCCTTCGTCAGCAGGGGGCGGTCTACGTCACACGCACGCACACTCTGTCCCCGCCCAGTCTCGCCGCGGGCGGAAGAGGGCGTGGCCCTGCGCGAGGCCCCCGCAGCCGCCGGCGTTACTGCCTGCATCGCTTGCGCATGGTTAGTGGCTCTCAGCTTCCCGCTGTTCAGGCAGCTCGAAGGCCACTCTGTTTTGGGGTCCTTGCCGCCCTTCCACGTCTCCCGGAAGAGGTGGCCAGGCCCGTCAGTCCCGGAGGTGGTTTAGTGGACCCGGGTCCTCTCTGGGCCGGCTGCTGAGGGGGCCCGGCCTACGAGGGCGTCGAGGCCGCGGTGCAGCCCTCTGGAGCCCTCAGGTGAGGCAGCGACGAGGTCCAGCGGCCGGGACGGGTCCACCTGGGAAGCTAACGGACCTGCAAGCGGGTCCCCCGCCTCGGCGGAGACTTGGCTTACCTCAGGTTCCCCCGGACCGCGCGTGTCTTTGGGGTTTGGAGCCGAGGAAGGGGAGGGAGGGTTCCTTTGGGTTTCGGCCGTTGTTTGCCTCCCAGCCTTTGCCTCTCGACACCGGCCTTTGCGTGGTGTGACTGCGCTTCTGGCTTCTGAGGTTGGGAGGACGTGGGTGGTTGGGGAGAGCGGGAGGGTCTGACAGCCCCGCCTCAGCATCCTTTCCCCGCCGTCCTCATCCCGTCCTCCGAGCCGACCCTGCGCTTCGGCGATCTGCAGACCCTTGCCCCACGTCTTGTTTTCCTGCCTGTGCAGGGCCAGAGGATTCGCCGCTTTGAACCTCTGACGTCCGTTCCGGATGTTTGTCGATGGGCGAGTGCCCAGGGCCCATCCTAATGTTTAATTAGGTAATCAATGCTAGTGTTTTAAAGCGCTGTTAACATTAAAATGGGAGGCAAGCTTATGAAATTATGTGTAATCATGTTTGCACAGCCTTTGACACATAAAAATCCTCTTCAGTAGCAGTGATGAGTGCCCGTGTGTACTACATGCTGGGAATTCATTGGTGAGCAAAGCAGACATGGTGTTTATCTAAATACACCTCCTTCTGCAGCAGGATGAGACATGTTTGAAAAATAACACATGATTGTAAAACGTAAGCACCTGTGAATCAAAAGAAAGGGTATGAATCTTAATAGGACCTAATTTAGATGAAAAGAAAGAACTCTGAAGCAGATGACATTCAAGTGAAAAAGGAGGTAAAGAAAGAGTGAATCATGAAAGAGTTCCAGACAAAAGGAGTGGCACAGACATTCAAGAAATAGTGGTTAGGGACCGTGGGTATAGCTCAGTGGCAGGGCCCCTGCCTGGCAAGCATGTGGTCCTGAGTTTGAGACCCAGTACCAAAAAAAAAAAAAAAAAAAAGGAAAAAAGGAAATGGTGGTTGACTTTTTATAGTGGTTGACTTTTTTATATTGTGAGGATTAATTACTGTATCACTTCCTTGACCTATGGTGGCACACTGAAGTACTTGACTGTGTGTCAACAGATGAAGTCAGGTTTTAATTCTGAACTGAGCTTAATGTGCACGTTAGGTACTGAGTATTTGAGTTATTGAAAATATACTTTAGACATATGATGTGAACACCTAAATTATCTGTAATAGTCCTTTAGTTTAATACGGGTAGTTTTTGTATTTATTGGAGGGATTTTACTTCTCAAATTTCAGCACTTTGAAAGGAGCTCCAGATAAACTGTTTTTGTTTGGTTGTCCTGGAGTTTTGCCTTATATATCATTTGCTGTTTGGATGGTGTTTTAATTTGCTAAGGCTGCAAAGTAACATAACACAGTACCATAGACTAGGTGCCTTGGACAGTAGAAATTTATTTTCTCACATTTGTGAGATCAGAGGGTGTGGGCAGGGTTGGTTTCTGTTGAGGCTTCTCTCCTTGGTTTACAGATGGCCATCTTCTCCCTTTGTCCTGATGTTAGCTTATCACTTGTACGTCTATTTTTGTGTAGATTTCCTTTTTTTTTTTCCAAGGCAGGATTTCTCTATGTAGTCCAGGCTGGCCCCAAACTCTGGACAGCCCTCCAGCCTCAGCCCCTCTTGGGATTACAGGTGTGCACTAGCATACCCGGCTGAAATTCTCTCATCTAAGAACACCAGGTTGTGGGGGCTGGGGATTTAGCTCAGCAGCAAAAGCGCCTGCCTGGCAAGCGCAAGGTCGTGAGTTCGGTTCCCAGTACCGGAGAATAACCAAAAAAAAAAAATAAATAAATAAGAACACCAGGTTGTTGGAGTAGGGCCCTCTTAGTGACTCTTTTGAACTGCATTATCTCCTTAAAGGCCTTGTCTCCAGTTACTTTCTGATGTTCAAGGCTTTGGACTTCAGTATGAGGTGTGATTGAAAAATATGATGAATGGTTAGATTTTTTTTTAAATGTAGCATGATAAGAGACACATTGCCATTAATGACCCTCAAAATCCTCCCCCTTATTTCAAACACACTTATTCCATCATTCTTGCCACTTTCTGAAGCAGTTCTGAAAGTCCTCTTTCATGAGCGTCTTTAGTTGCACTGTCGTGGGTGCCTTGATGTCCTGAGTCAATTCCAAACATTCACTTCTCATGGTCATTTTGACTTTAAGGAAGAGCCAAAAGTTGCACAGTGCCAGTTGTGGTAAATAAGGTAGAGGAGGAAAATAGGTAGAAGAGGGCACACCACAGTGTTTTTACAAGCCTTCCTTTCTGTTAGATGACACAGAGCAGCCACAGTCCCCATATTTTTGATCACACCAGGTGAAAAGGACTTTCAGAACTGCTTCAGAAAGTGGCAAGAACAATGGGATATGTCTGTGAGGGGACGATTTTGAAGAGAATTAAAAGCAATGTATTTTACTTTAGTAAGTTAAAAAGTAATCATTCATTGCATATTTTCATCACACCTGGAATGTGCATTTCAGGGGGAACACAGTTCAGCCCATAACATATCCATCCGCTGCATTAAGATTGCCTTTCATTAAAATAGCCATAATGACAGCCAGATGTGGTGGCACACACCTGTAATCCCAGCACTTGCAAGACCTGGACATAAGAATCACAGGTTGGAGTTCTGCCTGGGCAACTTAGTGAGACCCTGTTTGAAAATTAAAAATAGAAAAGGGCGGGGGATGTAGCTCAGTGATAGAACACCCCTGGATTTGAGCCGCAGTACTGCAATTCAGTAGTGGCGGTTGTAATAAACATAATAGCAGCTACTAAAATGAGTGCTTATTGTGTGCCAAGCATTTTGAAACTGTGTTGTTTTTTTCTTTTTCCCTGTATTATGTCCTGTTAAGATACTTGGGAGGCTGAGCCAGGAGGATTACTAGAGCCTGGGAGTTTGAAGCCAGCCTGGGCAATATAGGACTTTGAGGTCAGCATGGACAACGTAGCAAAACCCCATCTCAAAAAAAAAACAAAAACAAAACCCCCAAAACAGACCATTCTTTAAGGTAAAAACTACACTTAGTTTTAAGGTTAGTTTTAAGTACACTTAGCTAAGGTTTCTTAGCTTCAGTGAGTAGTTTGCTGAAGGTTACCTAGCTAATAAGAGGCAGGATTAGAATTTCAACCCAGAACTGTCTCATTCCAGAGTTTGGTGTGAACTGTTAGACTCTGCTGTTGTGCCACACTAATCATTTGATGTCCTTTTTACAGATTCACCTATAAGATTATTCTGCTGCCATCATGTCTTGGTTGGTTGATCTTGCTGGAAAGGCGGAAGATCTGTTAAACCGCGTTGACCAAGGGGCTGCAACAGCTCTCAGTAGAAGAGAGAACACCACCAGCAAAATTGCTGACTATCCTGAACTGCATCAGCAAAATACAGATTTGACATATCAGACTGGACCTAAAGCCTCTTACATTTCCTCAGCAGCTGAAAACATTCGAAATCAAAAAGCCACCATCTTAGCTGGCACTGCAAATGTGAAAGTAGGATCTAGGACACCCGGGGAGGCTTCCCATCCTGTTGAAAACGCATCTGTTCCAAGGCCTTCATCCCACTTTGTTCGGAGGAAAAAGTCAGAACCTGATGATGAGCTGCTGTTTGATTTTCTTAATAGTTCACAGAAGGAGCCCACTGGGAAGGTGGAGCTCAAGAAAGAAAAGGGCAAAGCCCCTGTCTTTCCAAGTTCTCGGACATCAAATATCAGTTCTGTGAACACCGGTGTCACCACTGTCAAAGCCAATGAAGAAAATTCTGGAAGCCAAAGCCATGGTAGTTAACCAGTCCCCCAATTGTTTTAGAATTAAGCCAGTTGGCTTAAACCATCCTAGCTTGTTTATCATCCTAGCTTGTTTATCATCCACTATTTTAGAGTCTGGTCCACTGGTGTAAGAGCAGGCCTTCTGCCTGGGTGTGGTCTAAAGAAGGGAGGCAGCTTTGACTATCACAGGTGAATATACAGTTGTGGCAGGGACTTTGGAACGTTGTCTATTGATAACTTCACCAAACCCAGTATCTAAGAAATTGTGTCAAATTGGAGTCCGTAAAATAATTTAAGATAAAAGAAATTGAAATCTGAAAAATGTGATTTTAGATGTGAAACTATCTCAATCCATTTATTTTTGTTATTGAAATTACAAAAATGACAGAAAGCTATACTCTATATGTATACTGTGTTGAGGAGAGTTTTGTGTGTTTTTAAACCTGCGTCTTCCAGAAATACAGCTAAGAGACTAAACTTTGAAGTTGAATTGAAGATATTGACCTAGTAGTGAAGTACAAGTTCAGAATTCTGGTTTTCAGTTGTTTAATGAACTGTGAAATTATTCCTATAAGCACATCTCACCTGCAAGATGAGGTTAACGTGGTTGACATGGCTAATTAAAGTACTTTAAAATTGCAGTAAACTTTGTAGATTTTTGCAGGAAGTTTTTATAGAGTTGATGGTTAATGGAAACATACTCTTGAATGTTAATGCTTCTCTCAGTTTTGGCTGTTAGTGAATAAAATCTGTATCTTCAAGATAAAAGTTATATAGAAACATGGGTATTAGGCTTTTAATGTAGGAGTGTTCAGTAGCAGTTGATTAATTATGGTTCCACACTCCTAAATTTCCTCTCAACTTTTTTGATTACACATTTACTGAGAACCTACTGGGTGCACAGATAAGGAACTGTCTAGTGGGTGAGGCAGGTATGTAACCAGGTAATTTATACATAGCATTTGAGGTATTTGTGAGAGTGCTGTGGAAATAGCAGGCAGTAACTAATTGCCTGAGGTATTAGGGAAGGATTCACAGAGGCTCTGTTTTGAGCTAGCTGTTTAAGGATGTATAGGAGTTTGTCAAATTTTTAAAAAGAGAAGAAAGAGAGAACATTCCATGAAGAGACAACAGATTCTTTAAAGAGTTAGTAAAGTAGAAAAAGATACAAGAAAGTTCTGGGCACTTGAGATTGAAAGCCAGGAAAAAATGAAGCCAGCAAAGCAAGATAGCATCTGTTTGCAGAGGCTTTTGTATAACATTGTTACCCATTGTTCTTAGAGATCACTGTTAAAGATCGCTCTCTGAGCAGCTTGTATTAGAATCACTGAGTGAGGTAATAACTGAATTATCAGTACTTCCTCAGACTTCCTGAGTCAGATATTCTGGAGATGGAGCAGGCCATCTGAATTCTTTTTGTCCCCAAAGTGATTGTTAGGCCAGTAAAAGTGTAAAGTGATTGCCATAAGCCATGTGATGCTAATAGAAGCCTTTAGAGCAAGTGTTGACTGTGCATAATTTTTATACTTTAAGAAAACAGCTTGCATTTAGAGGATGGGCCAAGGGGAACCTGATTAGCAGGGAAATGAATTAGAACCAGTTATAATACTATATTGGAGTTATAAAAGTTAAGTTTGCTTCCCAAGGGTAGGGTCTCAACCTCAGAACTGTTTGCATTTTGGGCCAAATAATTTATAGCCGAAGGAAGCTGTCCTGTGCTTTGTAGGATGTTCAGCAGCATCCCTGGCATTTTAGCCTATTTAGATATCAGTAGCACCCTCAGTTGCAACAACCAAAAATGTCTGATCTCGTTGCCAAATGTCCTGTGTAGGGTTGAATCACCCCTGCTTGAGAACCAATACCCTAGGATCCACAGAAATGAAATTACTGAGTTGTAAGACATGACAGTGTTCAACTGCACTAGTGATGACTGTCATCTGAGGAAGTGATACCAGTTTATACGCAGCAGCTATGATTAAGATGACCTTTGGCTGCTTGTTCTTAGCATTTGATATTGTCAAGATGACTTACGTTTTGGGACTCAGTTCTGTCGTTATTTTTTTATCTCCCCCTTGCTGATGTGGTTGAGCATCTTTTCTAGCCTTTTTCTGTCAATGTTTTCTACTAGCTCGTCTTTGTAGACATTTTTTACATATTTTAAATGCTAATTATTTCTTATCCTCCTTAGTTTTACTTTGGGTCCCCCCACATCTGAATGAAAAAAAGATCTTGATGTAGGTTAATTTATCAATCTTATTTGTGGCTTGTGTTTTTTCTCTCTTAGAATGTCTTTCCCTACCCTAAGGTCATATAAGATGTGTTCCTGTATTCTAAAAGTTTTATAGTTTTGCCTTTCATATTTAGGTGTATATCTAAAAGTGATATTTGTATAGTATAGGTAGGCATATGAGAATCAGCTACCCCAGCAACATTTATTGAAAAAAGACTGTCCTTTCCCTACCAATTCACTGCGCCACTTCCATCATACATCTATTCTTTATCAGTTTCTGGGCACTTATTTCTGTTTCATTGGGTCATTTGTAAATCCTTAAGCCAATGCCACACTGTCTTAATTAGTTTTTTAATATGTCTAACATTTGATAGGCCTACTTCTACCTTGTGGTCATTGTTCAGAAATGTTTTGGTAAGCCAAGTGTGGTGGCTCCTGCCTGAATCCCTGCGCTCAGGAGGTTAAGGTGGGAGGATTGCCTCAAGTTCAAAGATGGCCTGGGTTACATAGAGTTTAAGGCCAGCCAAACCAAAAAAAAAAAAAAAAGAAGAAATGTTTTGGCTGTTCTTGGCCTTTTACACATTTTAGAATTGCCTTGTCAAGTTTCACAAAAAATTCTGTTGGTCTTTTTATTGGGAGTTCATTACTTTAGTGAGAAATGACATTTTTACTGAATTTGTCTTAACCCATTAATGTATAATTTTAACTTGTTTTTAAGTGTTTATCAAGATTTCATTGTTTGCTCCACGAAGATCTTTTATGACTTGCATTAGATCTATTCATACATGGTTTACATTTTTGAAGCTATTAGGAATGATATTTTTCAAAATTTTTGCTTTCTGTTGTTGCTGATGTGTTGGTTTTTGTATATGCATACATAGCAACCCAGATTGCTCTTAATTTTTGTACATTTCTATACATACCATCTGTGGATAATAAGTTTGTTTCTTTTTAACCCTTTTATCTTATAATAGAAAAATCTATTTCTTGGCCTTACTTCATTGGCTAGGACCTAACAACTGATTTTTCTGTCTTGTTCCTTGTCTTAAAGGGAACACCATGACTGTTTCACTAAGAATAATCTTGCATTAACTTTTTCATAGGTACATTTTAATCAGACTAAGGTTCCCATGTATAACCTTGAGTTTGAGTTTGAGTTTTTATCATGTTGAATTTTTAGCAGTGTTTTCCCCTTTCTATGGAAATAATACTACCATTTTTTTCTTAATATTAATATATACATATCAAATTTTAAAAGCATAAAACCAAATTTAACCTACAGTTGACCAATATTGTTTAGGGTTTTGCCATTTTATGGAAGTGAAATTAACCTCTAATATTGTTAGGTTTTAGTATTACAATTACGTTAGCCGTATAAAATGATTAGGAAAATGGTCCTCCTTTTTTTTTAACTGGTGTAAGACAAAGATTATTTACTCTGTGAATATTTGTTAGAACACTGTGGCCAAAGCATTAGGCTTTGCTGTATTAGTAAAGAATCTAGACTGTTGATTTGATTTTTATTTCTTAAGAATTTATCTATTTCATATACACTTTGGGAAGGTGATTTAACTCAGGAAAATAATGGTGTCATGGCTAAAACTTTACCAGGTGTTTATACATGTTACCGTGTAGAATCCAAAATTAAGTCACATATACTGCCTGAAGAATATCAACATGTGGTGTAGATTGAACCCTGACCATGGGTTTTCCCCTGTGCTAACTGCCTGTTTTTTAAAAAATAGCTTTGATGAAGTTCAGTTGATATTCATAGGCCAGGGATATAGCTCAGTGGCACAAGTGCCTGCCTGGCAAACGCAAGGTCCTGAATTCAATTCTTGGTACTCCGCTCCCCCTACTCCCCACCCCGCCTCCCCCCGCCGCCAAAAAAAACCAACAAGATATTCACATGCACATATATCTCCCAGGGAACCACTTTTAGTTATGTTCATTGTCGCCAGTGTTTTATTATTTTAACTTCTGTTGTCTTTTAAG